CAGGCAGCCCCCGGCCCCTGCCGGGGAGGGCGGGGGCACGGCAAGGTGCGGCAGAAGCTTATGGGAGACTGTAAAGCTGAGTGTAATGTTACAAAACCAACGATGCAGCCACTTGGCCTTAAAAAAGAATTTGCTTTTCTAACCCACAAAGCCCAACTCTGGACTAGATGACCCTTCTGTTCTTCCGTTAGATAAATAAAGAAAAAGAACCCATACAACGGTGATCATGTTCCAGAAGGACCTGCCCAATGTGGTATTGACCCTATAGAGGAGGAGCTCCACTCTCAAGTGCATCATTCAATTCTACATTCCTTCGTTAAGGGGTAGCTGTCAGGCTGAGGGCACATCTCAACTGATTTTCTGAACTCCCCAACATAATCAGGGCAGCTTAATTTTATGTACGCCACTAGAAGTCACCCTAAGCCTAGTCTTACCTACAAATGCCAAGCTTCCCCCTACTACAGTAGTAGGTATCAGCACTAATGTGAAACCAAACTTAAAGGACTGCTTCAATTAGAAATAAAACACTTCTTACTTATGTAATCCTCCACATTCACAGGACAATTCATTCCTCGTATACAGGTTTTTATTAAGCTTCTCACGTGTAATTAAGCATATATACTACATCGGACATGCTAACCAGGTTGTCAGGAGCCAAGTTTTTTTCCTCCAGACATCTGTGGCAGTTGGAGTTTCATGGATTTCACACAAATGTTTCAAAACTTTGTTTCCAGTTCTAAGCACAGTGATGAACACTTGCCAAAAGTTCTAACCTTACCCACACCATGTGCCAGAAACATACAAAACACAAGGTATTTGAGGAGTACAACAGATAAAGCAACATGTAGAAGAACAGATCTTGTAAGAGAGCTATGCTGTGGTATGACACTCTGCACCTCCCAAAACAGATTTCTGGAGTCTTAAACAGAAACAGGGCTGCTAGCGGTACAGGCTTTGCACAGGTAAAAAAAATAAGATGGTGTAGCAGATGCTTTTGATGGTCAGCCTACAAGGGAAACAATGTTAGCGTTTGAGAGCAATTCTCTTGATGCCTAAAAAAGAACCACTTCTGTGCTCAGGCTTTCTCTTACACTCCATGCTTTGTTAAGGTAAATGTGACACCACCATGTGTGAATTCAGATGAACCTATTCACGACTGATCAAAAATTCAGAAGAGTATCTTATCACATTAATGTCATGTACAAAAAAACAAGACTGAAAGCATTACTGTAATTGAACCAAACCAGCGCTACGAGGCATCTTGCTTCCATTTGCGATGGTCAGAAGTTTCCTATGCAGATAATCCACAGACAAATCACTAAGTTTTAGATGTTACGTATTACCCTATCCGCATCTGTTGTATGAGGAACACACTCGTAAGACAGCACGTTCCTACCCATGTGTAATCCCGCTACGAATAACTTGTTTAAAGCCTGCTGAAGGAGAATTCCTTTCTTTAGCCGGGAGTGATCCTCATAGTCTGGTGTCCCATGCAGGCAACACTTAACTGAAATAATCACAAGGGAGTGAAGTAAGAAGCTTCAGTTTGGCAGCAGCAGTAGATTCATAATGATTAAGTTGAGCAGTAGTTACAGATTCAAAAGAAATTATGTATCCACAGTATATGTACATTATAATTAACTTCTCAAAAGAGTTTTTTCATTGCTATATTTTAAAGGTTGCCTTCAAATTACACATAAGTCCTTTAAATGCTTGAAAGGCATAAAAATTCCCCTTCCCACACAAAACCCCAAACAATGTATTTTAGTTTCAAAAATATTTTGAACCCACGAACAAGCTTGGTATCAGTTAATCTGGTAAAATAGCTACGTGCTAAATAAAAGCACATCTGGTGGAAAGAGCGCAAAGAATGTTACAAGTGTGCTTAGTTTTTGCTTGCAGCATCTGGCAGTGGGTAGCAGGACAGAGGCAGGAATCTCAGTGGGTCTCCTCCTGTGTCTGTTCTGCGATAGTTTCTGTGGCACTGGCATTGGCAGCAGAGTTGAGAACGTCTCCAAAGTCTCCCCCGGCGGGTTTGCTTCCTCCAACTTTAGACTAGAACAAAGAGAGAGCCTCAACACAAAATCACAGTTACTTGGCATATCAAACACGCTTAACTGTATAAAACTGGTACCTCTGCATGAGTAAGTTTAATAACTCTTTTCAGCAGAGCAGCTTTTCCAGGACTGGGCTACCTCCATAATACTTGAAAGACAAGTCTTAGTATCATGTGGAAAACAATCAGCAGCAGCAGATTAACATAGCAGTCTCCCTTTGACTTTGAGATACACAAAACATGAAGCAGCCCTGATTCCAGGGAGTCTGGAGGCTGACACACCCTCGGTTAAAAATGGATACAGGTAAGCAGCTTTTCAAGCCATTTAGGCTTTGAAACATTCCAAGCTTAAAACTCACTTCTGTATTGCTCAAGAAAGAACTTCGAACACTTTTCAGCCTCAACAGCAATTCCCGAGATCTTTAGTGAAGCATAGCAACTATTTTACTTTCTCCAGGTAACGCATTTGCCTTTTCACTTCCCTCTACCCTGTGGGATGGCAGGAGTGTTAATGCCAATTCGTTTGCAAGGGAATGCCTAGCTCCATACGCAATCGCTTGCATGCTTCTTCATCCAACCCAGTGTGCCCATGAGAACAGTCAAATCTGGTTCCAGTTACATGTGTATTAGTTATTTTTCAAGTTATTTTGTTTTTTACCTGGAGAAGCTATTAACGTTTGTTTCTGGCACTTGAAGCTTCTGTGCGTAAATTTTAAATTAAGGTACAAAGGCCTTCCATATTTTATGCCAGAAATAAGAGAAACATCCCAAGCTATTCTCCTGTGTAGCATACTGGTCCTTAGGAAGGCATGGAAATAAAAGCCTAGACCATTTTGGATACATACTACTAGGTATGTTATACTAGCTGTTTGTGCAAGTTAGCTAGCTGTTAGTCCTTACAGTGAAAGGCGTCCTCCAGTAAGAGGCGCAGGAAGCCCACTTTTTATTCTCAAATCATTAGGCAGAGAAACCATTTCCACAGTACTTAAAAAGATGTCATCTAAGCACCTTCAACAGTTCACCAGTAAGTAGAAAACAGGCTACCAAGACTCCAGTCTTTTCTCCACATCCACAGCTCCACAATCACCAAGGCGTTTTGGTAATGCTTACCTTTAAGCTTTCAACTTTTTCCTCAAAGGATTTGAAAGTAGGGGAATTTCTAGGAAAATTAAAAAAAAAAAAAAAAAAGAACCACAGAATTACAAACATATCTGGTTAGTCCATAAATATCAGAAAACAAGCAGACAGTTGCTTTTTGGCACGTCAATGTGAATTGGTTTGTTTGGGGCTCTTTCCTTGTTTTAAGGGTAGCCTAAAAATAGTTTAGATCTGGATCTCCCCGACTACTACAAAACTAAAATTCAGACACACTCAAGTTGCAGCTCATTTGTATCATTGGCAACTAAGCATCACCAGACTCAGTGATAGGATCTTTCATCACAACATGGAAGGGAGAACTAGCAAGTATTTTAGGTTTAGCTTATTATTCCCAGTGATTTCAAACAGGTTGCTGGATTAAAGGATTTGTTCAGAAAAGCTTAAGTCATCACTTCTGGTTAGCCTAGTACATTATTGCTGAAGAAAGCTTGTCATCAGAGTTTTTTCACTTGTTATAGGAAAACTAGTTTAATTTAATAGGCTATGTGTTCAATTAACAAAACATGGTTTGCAGTGGCATTTTCTGCTAACACATTACATTTAAGGGAGACTCCCCTTTGCCTTTTAAGTGCTGGAGACATCTGTGATTACCAATGGCAAATTCTGCATATGAAGAGCAGGACAGCTTAGGATTTTCAATGCTGAGGGCCAGTGTATTATTTATTAGGGTCAGAGGAGTGGCTTAATGCTCCAACTAGCTGTCACTGCCATTTGCAAATTTGTGCAATAGCCTGTACGTTTTGTCTGCCTTTATGCAGGATGGAAAATGCTTGCCTCCAGTTGACCCAGCCTAAGGATTCATAGCAGGCTCAGAAACAAATTATAAAGATGAAAGACAGGAGGTTTGTTTTTAATTTGGGGTTTTTTTGTTTGGTGGGGGTTTTTTTGGTTTTTTGGTTTTTTTTTTTTTTCAAAAGAGGTCTTAAGCTTCCCATCCTCCTTTGCTTGGTATTTCTGTAGGTCACCCACACTTAGCTGCACTCTTTCATTTGGGAAAGTACACAGTGACATATATACATCTCTCTCTCTCTCTCAAACCAGACTCTCTCAGGAGGTGGAGGGACACAGTGCCAAACAAGGAGAGAGAAAAGGCAAACACTCCAAGTCAGCAAGAGACTTTTTGTGAAACCACAGTATTTTTTACACACTTGGATTGTTCTAAAACAGACGCCAAGCTATTGCCTTTTAAACTCGGATTCATTTAATAGCATTACATTTCTACCAGGCAGGGAAAAGTTGTTATAGTTCTCCAAACAGCAGGAAAGTGCACTTGGTCACATTCCAGATGTGCGATAACCATTAAGCAAAAATAAAACAAATTTTATCCTATATGTTAGTACAGGAAATCCATTATAAAGTTGGGTGGGTTTTTTGGTTTTGTTTTAAATCTATGTTAGTTGACTTAAGTTCAATTTGACTTGATTCCACACATGAAAATAAATAAACCCAACAGCTGGATTATGCATACATTACCTCATAATAGGCATGCTAATTGAATGTTGTATGGAGCGTATACTAAATGCCAGCATTAAGAAAAAAGAAAGCAAGAAGTTAGTTTAAGTCATAGACTGAGAAGAAATTGGCTTAGAGAGCTGACTTCTGGAAACTATCTATTTGGTAGACAGCCAAACAGTTTTATACAGTCTTACATAGGAACTGCTTGGTTTTGCTTTTTTAAATTGCTTAGCCATGCACACATACAAGTATAACAAAGCAAAAGCTGCAACAATTTGTCTTCCTTTTTAGAAAGATACAAGTGCCATGCTTGTTAGTACATATTCTGCTTAGCGGCAACAATCTGTCTACTCGTTAAGTTTCTCAAGCAATGAGAGACATGCTGCATTTACAGTTTTGACGATATCAAGTAGAAAGTGAACACTCAAAAGTTTTATCAATCAACTAATGTACTGAAAGAATCATTCCTACATTCAGAAAGCTTCTATTTCAACTCAGTGTAAAATTTCCATACTCATCAATACAAATTATCTACTGGTCAATATACATTATTTAGTGAGAGCAGTCACATCAATCTATATTCAAGGTCAGGTTTATGCTGGGGGCAAGGAGAAAGCCCTAAGTTCAACCCTGTTCTGAAATTCATGGAAGATTTCTGTAACCTGCCAGTGTTGCTAAACAGTTACTGTTTGTTTAATGACAACCCACACTTACTCCTAGAAGGTGACTGGATATAGATTAAGGAGTTCCCAAATAACTTCAAGAACATCTGGAATCTAATTTAGTTCCATATTCTAGAAAAGTCCGTTTACTCTTGATACAAATTAGTCTTAGATGTTAAACATTTCTTGTCAAATACCACAACAGTAAGTTAGAAACACTGATGGTCACAGATTTCATAACTATATTTGTAATGTTGAATTTTGACTGGGCTTTATGATATCTTTCAAGGGAATACTTTCTGGGCAATTGCAGGGGCAGGGTGAGGAAGTAGGGGGAACACAATCAAAAAAAAACCCCACTCTCACATTTGATGCACCTCCAAAACTCCAATAAGCATTTCAGCACAATGGAAGATACAGTCACAGAAGTAAAAAAGTTCTGTGTTCATTGCAGAACAAATTTTAAGACATTCTTTTGGGCTTAGGAGTTCGTAAGCACAAGTTAGTAAGCACTAGTTAGTTCCTTTTGTTAACAGTTAGGTTTCCAGCTGACATGCTCATAAACGATCATATCAAATTTCCAAAACTAGCAAAGAAAGTTACTCTGCAATCTCAGAACAGGGCAAAGATGAGGACTTCCACTCCATAATATGGATGCAATGCAAGAGGGCTTATGATTACTCCAGAAGTTTGTAGAGCGCTACACCTTGGCACTACTGCTCGGTTGTTGGGGTTTTGTTGCATACAGTACTGATGTTGCCTACACAAGGATGGCTAACTCATCGAAAGTTCAAGACATTCTTATAAAGGAGAACAAAAGTATTCAGAGAAACCTAAGAAGGAACAGAGTTCATTTTCAGCATAACAAAATGCAACAGAAACAAACACAAAAAGGAAGCAATAATGCACTGACTTAGCACTACCAGTCCTCTCTCTCCCTCGCTATTTCAGTACTTTCCGAGTTCACAGCTCCACCAGCTGCCTTACTCCCTTTCGCAACTCCCTCCAAAATCACTTTGCAGTGCAAGAATGAAGACCTGCATGTGATGCTTGCTGCATGGAACATGTGGAAATAACCCAAGACAGAAGAAATCATGCCATTACAGTGAGAAGTCCCTAAGATAAAACAGTACAAGAAAAGCAAAGCCGTGATGAAGCAGCTATGTAAGAGTTCAAGAATAAAAATGCACCTGCATATTAGTTCAAGCATGAGGCCCAACGATTCTCATTTCCAGGAAAAAACTTGTGTATCTAAACCTTTATAAACTTCAGACTTGTGCAGTCTTGAAAGTAGACACCACTTGAGCAGTCACATTACCCTAGGACCTGAATTCATTGCTGAATCCCAGATGAACTTGGTCCTCATGAAAGCAAAAAACTCAAAGGTTTTTAATCTCCTGTTTAAATGCAACTAAGATCTTGAACAGCACTAATTCTTCCCACCGTGTTTTTGTTTTTTTTTTTTTTAACCCAGCTGCTCCTGAATTTGTAACCATACCTTGAATGTCCACTGACATGATTCTCTCCGAGAAGCACACCAACAGTGTGGACTCCTCTGGCCCTGTTACATTCCCGCCCAGTGGCCCGGTTTCTGATAGAGAGTACTCAACACCCACCTAGCCACTAAGTTGATTAATTAGGACACTTATTTTGAGGTACTAAATTCCTGAAGCCAGAAGAGAGCCGTAAGTCTGTGCTTGTCCTTGTCAAATGCAATAGTCTAATACTAGTAGGGGAACCCCATAGCCTTAAGGAAGACAGGTGAACCCTGTTAAGTGAGCAGCCAAGCTCTGCATCCAAAAGGTATAGAGACATCTTCCAGGCTCCCTTTGTCTTACTGGTGTTAAAGGGGAGGGTATTTCACACAGGCTGCTATTCTTACACTTGAGCAAATTGAGCTCACTTCACAGTCTGAGTTCTGATAGTGTCCAGTGCCTCTGCCCATCTCCTCCCCAGGCACTGCCCCTGGAGCTATAGCTCCCAGTTAAGATTCTAGGAGCCAGACCCCTACATCTTTATAGAGATCCTACTGCTGTCTTTAGCACTTAGTGTGAGAACACAGAAAAGATGAAGCCAGACTCAGAGGTGTGCATAGACAGGATGAGAGTGAATGGACAGAAGTTGCTATACAGGAATTTTAACTACTGAAAACTCAACATTGAACATTTGCTTAGACTAGGCAGATAAAAGGCAATGCAGACAAGGTAGCTAAAATACTCAGTGTCTGGAGCTGCTAAAGTAATCAACTCAAAGATAAGGGCTGTTTCACTGGACAAACTATGAACAGAGAATGTGTAAGCTATTTTACATTTAGACTCTAGTGATTTGATTAGAGTCACAATGCTAAACAACCATTGTAATAGACACAAAAAAGGAACATTTCTGTCTGTCAAGGCAAAACACTGTACAGAGAAAGAGAAGGAGGAATTCTGCATGCCATTGACCTCAAAACCATATTCTGTCTCTTTACAAAAAACTTTGCAGAATCATTTTAATGGATGTCTGTCTTAGAAGGAAGAGAGACTAATTCATTATTATGTATTCTCAAGATTTCATGTTCTGGGATAGTTACCAGGTGAACATGAAGAAACATCTTCCCTGATATTAACAGTGCTTCGGTTTTACATTAACTAACACCAGAGAAAAAAAGAAATTACTTTTTACAAACAAAACTTATTTAAAAATTTTAGTGGAGACAGTCTGACTACATGCTTAGTTTCAGAAACAATTCTTGCGCCCACCTTACCTAAAGGAATGTGAAAATGCCTGTAGTCTGCACAATGCCAGAGTAAGCATTAAAGAGAGAAAGGAAGTTCTGATAAATCTGAAGAAAAATATGTAACTGTGTAGCTGAACCCCAAAGTGATTTCTCACTACGCTTCAAAAAGCAATGAAGAGGTTAATGGCAGCACTTTAAAACAGAGGGCTGATTTTATTACACTGCAGCAATATTCTGTTAGAATGTGTGACTTTATTTGTCCAATAATTGAAAAATAATTTTAAGCCACCATTCACAATAAGTTACAAGCAGAGATGAGTGGTTGTATATATTCCAGTAGTAAAAATTATATAATCAAACAAAGAATTGTAAGCTAAGCGTATGTTTCAATTGCATCCAGGAAGAGTTCTGCATGCAGCTCACAGTAGTGCTAAAAATGATGACCAAACTTACCTAATTTGCATGAAGGGCTGTGTCATTTGACACAAAGTCAAAATGTGTTGTATGCCAATATTTAAGAATTTAAAAGTGCCAAATATTAAAAAAAGTAATAAAATCAAGCCACTGCTATGAGGTAGAACAGCTTACAAAGAAATAAAACACACCTGAAAGGAATCCACACAAGGCAAAAATAAACAACAAAAAAAGCCAACAACAAAACCAAACCACAGTTAAAGACATTAGTTGTTTAAATGTAGTGTTCCACAAGCTGAGAAAGTCAGAGGACAGAAATGACAACACTACGTGCATCACACAGAGGCAGGCAGAGATGCTGCCACCTGCAGTCCTACCAAAAAAATAAGAATAGCAGCGGAGGTAATAGCATATGTTGCTTCTCTTGCATATATAAAATACACACCACAGAACTCTTCTGCATCACTGAGGACATACAAGCAGATTTTGCAGCAAGTGACTCAGCTCTCCTAAAACAGATGCTGAGTTCCTGATAGATCAACTTCTAGAAGTTAATTATATTAACAGCATAAATTTATTTTAGTGATCACCTGCTTAAATCAAAAATGCAACTACTTGGGAAAAGCGAAAGAAACCTACCTGACGTCTTCAAACTTCTTGGTTATGACTGAACCAACAGATGAAAATGCAGCAGAAGCCTTCTGACCAGCCTGAGAGAGGGTTTCTGATGTTTTCTTGTATCTGTGTTCAAACAAAATTAAGCCTGTAGTTATTTTAATAGAACACATAAGAAACCTTTTAGCATATGTAAATTTGTATGAAACACAAAGGTATACTTCAACTTTGGGGTCAAATGGACAAGTTACTTAAGAGATTATATTGAGCCATTGCAGTCCCTTCTGGCTACAGCACCCCTGCCACCTCAGACTTCAGATGAGGTTCATCAACATGCACCTACTACCCCCAGCCCCAGAACAGATGCTTTCTGTTATTGTAGGACTTAAAAACAACCCAACAAAACAATCCGATGCACACACACAGAAAAAGAACAGAGATCTAATTTTTTGTGCCAAGTGTATAGTATAAAATACTGTACCAAACGGTTTTGTCAATAAACTTCACCATAAAAAGTTTGAGGTACACCCTCTTACATTCTCTGTAGTCATTAATTGCAGAAGGCATTTCGCTCTAGACCTTAAGCTAACAGTTGAGTTTGGCAAGAACATTAACTGTGACTTTGCACTTTTCCTGCATGAGCTCAGTTTACAACAATTTTCCAGGCTGGAAAATAAGGATATTCTGCTGCACTAAGGACACCTTGGTATCTCACTAATGGTATCTCAGATCTGTCAGACAAAAAGTGTATTAGAATCACCCATATTATAGTAAATCATTCTTATTTTGCAGGAGATGATATGGCTAATAGTGGGCTTCTTGAAAGAAATCCATGATGATTCATCCAGGTAAGTTCTAGTGCAACTTAACTTTGTGTTATCTACACTCATCTCATTTCACAAGAACAGATGGTTTAAATTTGACAAGAACTACATAGTTGTCACCTCAACACCTGAGACAATCATCATTAACTGATACATACGCTGTGGTTGATGTAACATCTTGCCAGCTTTTGGTAATGTTCTGCCTTAGTTCCTGTAATGAGTTAATTCCCAGCTTTCTCTTGATTTCTGCTAGATGCTTCTCTTTTGCAGCTAGCACTTGTGAGAGCGTCTGGATTTCCTCTTCCACCTGCAGCAGCAGAGTTGACAAGAGGTAAGTTAACAAGCAATATACCCAGCCATTTAACTATTTATTAAAACAACTACTAACCATCAGTAATGGGAGGGCTAATGCATTTTTAACATTGCCTCACAGTTGTTTCTAAATACTAAAAGGGAATTCCAACATATTCTACAGCAAGAGCAAGTGAGACACCTGCAGCTAGCTCTGTTACTGCAATATGCACAAGGAAGTTGGTAACTAAAAGACTGTATAGTTAGAAATCATTACCTTTAGGCAACATTAGCTTGAAGATCAGTCAAACCTGGGACAATTGCCAAGCCTGTATTCTCCTTCCACATCAGAAGAGATCAATGTATGACCAGTATCAGGAAGCTTAGAGCATGTCTGATCCACACACAAGTTTTGTCTCCTTGCTTGAACAGAAATGTTCTTTTGTGGCTTAAGCCAGCAACTGCAGGCTGGATCCAGCCTTGGGAACAGGAGTGCCTTCCCCAGAGCAGGGGTGGAAATGGTGGCAGACTGAGCAGTTAAAAAAAAAACAACACACCAAACAACCAACACAAAAACCCAAAAAACCCACAACAACAAAAACACAGCACCTGTTCAGCAACTAGAAAACCGTATTGTTTGTATACTTCCTTCTTTACACAGATGGTCACTTAAGCCTCTCACAGCAGCATGACCAGATCATGATCAGAGATGTCAAAACAGTTTTACGATGCCATACTGTGGGCTATATAGATGTGACAGAGGTACTAAGGCCATATGTACAAAGGTGAAGGCATACATCCAATCCTACTTCCTCATCCAGACTGGACTTACTTTAGAGTATCAGGCTGCCCACTCACTTAAGCTCCTTTAAGGAAATACCAGTATCTTCAATGCACCTTTGTTTCAGATACCTGTCCAAAGTCCAGCGTGATGTACCCTAGCAGGACCAGATTTCCCTCACCATCTTCAGCTGATTGGTTTGGCATGAAGTAACACTCAGGACTACCAAAACCAAGACTGCACCAAATATGCTTATTTCTAGCTAACTTTCGTTTGCCAACCTTAGGCTTAAGTTAGTGTCTTTTATTAGGGTCCTAAAGTCAGATCGAGCTACAAAAGAAAAAGGACTGTCAATTCAATAAAGCTTGACTTTGACAACTTTTGAAACGCATGTATCGGGTTTGAATATTTGACTGTCCTTTAAAGAGTGTGTCCTGGTTTGAGGGCCCAAACCATGACACAGTGCTACTTTAACTCACTCTTAAAAAAATTTCTGCTATATGAACTATGGACAAGAATAGTTACATGGTTAGACGTTAGCAAAACAGTGTCTACATGGATATTACTACAAAGCATCCTTCATAAAAAAACAGCTTTAGTTACTGCACAACAGTTGAGACAATGCTTGGTTTTGGCTTCCAACTATGTTCTTATTGACAGCTTATTTTCCTCCTCCTCACTTGAGGAAAAAACAAAAGGGTTAGGCATTTATGCATCTTGGTTTAAGATCTGTACACTCAGCGCTTCCAGTTTAATTCCCCATATCTAGAACTGGCTGTTCTTTTCTCCTTGACACCTTTCCTTTCCCTCCCCGCAATACACAGGAGTGCTGTACCCAGCTTTAACCAGAATAAATATGCAAAGCATTAACTGTATGTTCAAAGACAGCATTATCCCAGATTTTCGTTCTCAAAACCAGTTTAAGAGCTATTTCCAAGAGATTTACCTTAGCAAGCTCTTTTCTTAGCTCATCCTGTTCTTCTTCTGAGAGTGTTTCTGCCATACCAACTGTAGCAGCAGCATCCTCTCCAACCTCAGGTATAGAGTCACTTCTCAGCAGCCCTTGAGGTAAATAAACCATCAAAAGTCAGATCATCACGTGTCTACTAGATAGCAGCTAACGTTAATATACAGCCCTTTTGTGCCACTGCACAAAGAAAACTGATAAGAGGACACCAAAGTCATGCTCCCCAAGTACTACAGCATCCAGGAAAACAGAGACATGTTACTGGCTGTTTTGCTCTATCAAGTTGTATTAAAGCTCAATATAATCGCAACAGCTGCTATAATAGGAGACTGGGAACATCTTGAGAACAACGCATCTCACTACTCTGACAGAAACCAAGGCGCAGAACGTTATGTCCCAACCAGCGATTCCTACACAACCTCTGCCCAGGAGTCGATGCACTCTGCTTTCTCTACTCACACCGCACAGAAACTCTGGAAGCACTGGAGGTGCTCAAGACCAATGCAGAGGCTCCCTCCCTCACTGCTCTTAGATCAGATTTAAAAATGCCCATTCTCAGCATACTGGGAGAGGTCATGGCAACAAGCAAGCTCAGCAACAGCAGAGAAAAAGGTTGCACTGCAAGTACGAACTCTTCCCCCACACCCTGCTCAACCTCTCTGTCCCTAGTAACTGGGACCACTGTGGCTAGAAAGTTGCAGGTATCATGGAACTAAAAGTAAGTTGTTGTTTTGCACCGGGACGGTAAGGCAGATACGAAGGCCAGGGAAGGAGCTTGGGAACAAAAGACTGTCACTTCAGACAAAGCGGTGGAGTGCTGAGAAGGGACTGATGAGGATGTGCACCCACTCACACTGCTGCCTCTTCTTCCAAATCCAGAAATCAAAACTCTGCCAAACTCCTCTGTTTGAAGACCAAACATCCCTATGGTCTTCCCCAACTTTCACCTTCACAGCTTCAGGGAAAGGAAGGAAAACAGTAGTATTTGTATTACTATGATGCACGCACTTTAAAGATTCATTTATTCTTAGTCCTTAGCATTTGCAGCAAGATCACTTTAAACACCTTTTAATGCAACAAACGGGTTTTCCAGCAAAAGATTTCTCATTTTGAATCTTTGTAGCTGACACTTAAACAGACGGTTTGCCAGAATTAAGGAATCCTGTTCCAATTTGCAAAGAGACCAGTTTGTAGAAAGACTGCATGCTGCAATGGTTATGGATTCCCAGAACTAATTCTCTATTTAAGAGGTACAATAGGATTATAGATAATAAAAAAATCAATGAAATAAAAATCTTAAAACAGAAAAAAAACAACAGGAAGACTGATTGTAAGGAGAGAGGGTGAGAGTATGTATACGTATATGAATGTATATAAATATACAATTCAGATAAGCTGAGAAGTTATTAAGTAATGTTCTCTTACTTATCACTATAGTAATTAACTACATAAAATTACATCCTTATTTCAGAAGCTTCTGATGCCACTGCACAATACCATTTGGTCTGGGAATCCAAAAACTCATTAATGTGTAATGAGACCACCACTATGATTTTATTGTGAGGCTCGATATCAAATAGCTACATCGCAATCAACTGAAAAGTCAGGGAAAAAAAGATTCTGTGAGTCTGTAATTAGTTGTAAGTATTCTATGAAACATGCTTCTAGCAGCTGTCAAGCCTAAGAAAAGAAGAGGTCTTGTCCTTGATCAAGTTACTGAATTCAGGTAAAGCTCAATTCCACAAATTCTTTCCAAAACAGTATGTTTTCTGCCTGTATTTGTGTCCAAAATGCTTGTACTCTAGAAACACACTGCTACACGGGCAGAAAGTTTGTAAATGGTAAGCTACCACAGAGTACACTGAGAAGGAAGCATACAGAAAGCAACTGAAACCCCATTCTGCATTTATTTATGAAATCTACCACATTTTCCCAGAGAATTATCTCTCTCTTCTACACAAACATAATGTAGTTCCTACAGGTTTCCCAATACACTATTTTCTGGCAGGAATCTAGGACAGGAAGAAAAGTTAATGCCCAAGCCAAAGCACAGCACTGCAGCACCAAAAAAAAAAAAAAAAAAAATACAGCTCCTGTCTCGCAATCAGATGATTTTTTGTTTATACATCAACAAAATTAATGCCCAAGCCAAAGCACAGCCCTGCAGCACCAAAAAAAAAAAAAAAAAAAAGATTACAGCTCATGTCTCACAATCAGATGATTTTTGGTTTATACATCAACATATTTCCTTAACATCAAACAGTTAAGAACGGCATACCTTTTTGTCAAATTGCTATTTATCCTAATAATTACATAGACCTATATTGAAGGAAAGCTAACAATTTAAAACTGCATTTTCCCCTGACACGCTACAACCCCCAATATGTTAACCTCCAACTCCTGACCTTGCTCTCCATCTGCAGCCCCTTCAGTGACTACAGAGCTAGCCTTTGCTTTTCAGAAAGTTTGCAAGTACCAAAGACGACACTGACTCCAAGAGCATTAGCACATCCAGCTGAAAGTCTGCTCAATCTGGTTATGAAGAGTCATCTGGATTATCTCACCAAAAATAGATCAAGTGAATCCAGCAGTAAGAACACATGCTGGATTGTCTCCCACAGCAATTGCTTCTGTTTTGGGACTGTACCTTCTCTTTGGAAAACCAATGTTTTAAGGGAGTTTGCACTGCTTGTTGTCTACATTGAATTTAAGACACAATGCTAACAAGCACGGGAATGATCTCTCCTCCCCTTCCCATTTCCACATCTTTCAGTAAAACAGGCAATCTCTGCTACTCGGAGTCCTCCATACCTCACCCTGTACATCTAACCATGCCTTCCCCTCCTCTCCTCACCTTCTGCTCCCCTCCTTTTTATTGCTTTTTCTGTAGCTCTATTCGAAGAATGCAAACACCTTTCCATTAGTCTCTATTCTGGTACCTCCCCTCTCGTTTCCTGTTACTCTTCACCTCTCTGCTCCCTTTGCTCCCATTCCTCAGTTCACTTCAATACTTGCAGGACTCAAGGTTCATCTGTGCGACAGGAAGGCCATGCTAGGCAGCCTGACCAAGAAGCAGCTGTCTACAAAGATAACAACCCCCAGACCTCCACAATGGCATGGCTACAACCCAAATAACACCCCATAAACTCGGGCTGACAGACAGTAAGATCCCAGCTTTGAGCAAGCTTTGTAAGGAAAGGTGCACGGCCCACCTTAGATATTTTTGCAGAGTGTGGGGCAGGAAACCAGGGACATAGCCGCCAGCCAACAGATGGAAATACTTGGGCTCAATCTGTTATTAAGAGAGCATTTCTCACTTGGGGTCATCTCTGTTCACCAGCAGAACTGTTGTTACTGGCTTCCAACTTGTTACCTTTTGTTACATTAGTTCTCTCACATCTTCAGAGATGCAAAGGACTTAAAATTCAGTCACCTGGTACTGCAATTGCTACAACCAAGTTTAGCTGAGCATTTTACACCTCTTAAACTCTTAAAAAATCTGTTGGGGAAATAAAATGTGAAAACATCTACTATTGGGAAAACTTACTTAGTTTTAAGGTCAGATTTCAGGTGTCTGTGTTTCTAAGATAAACTGGTGGGATAATATGTTAATCAGATCTACTCAAATGAACCAAAAATGATACGAAGAAGTCAGTTGATTAGGATTCCACAGATCACGTTCAGGGGAACAGCACTTAAGTCCCTATTACTCTGCCAGAGAAGGCAAAGCATTAGAGCAATTCAACTAACACTCAGGTTTTCTGGTTTGAGGTCTGCTTTGGTCGGTTTCAACCCAAGTTCATACTCTATTTTGACCAGAAGTTCCTACCTCTTTGTGGCCTGAATTCAGAGATTAGCAGTAAACATTAGCAGTTTAAGGAAGTACTGATCATTTCAGATGAGCAACCTTTGGGGTGGGGAAGGGTTAGCCTTCACAAAGCTTTATCTTTAGACGGACATATTCTGTGTCAGACACTGAGAATGAACATTTTGGCTATCACTATACAGTTGGCAAAGCTAAAGAAAACAGGCACTTGTTAGATTTCAGGAGAACAAGCTGTTACAAGATTATAAGATCACTCCAACATTTGAGTAATGTACAGTGCTACAGAGGATATTTCTTTTGAAATATATAAGAAAGATCAAAGGTAAGCGCTTCCCATTTATCTCAGTGAAAAATCCAAAGCGAGACATATTTCTTCAACTCAGAGGAGAAAGGTCTTGGGCTTCTCCCAAACACTAGTCATATACTCACTCAAAGTGAAAAAAAAAAAAAGCCCAGCAAAGGCTGGTGCTTATGGTGACACATCATCACCAGATAAAAAGGACTGCTCCCTCCCCTTTAGAAGAGGTGGGAGATGTGGTAATTGCAGAAGTGAAAGCTAACCACTGTTCCCCAGAGGCCCCGAGCTCATCAGGTTCACAGAGGGGTTTGTTTTAGTTCACAAAGAGGTTCCCAAAGTGATGCACGTTTCTTTACTATTTTAAAGAATGAGTCCATCAACAGAAAGAAAAAAAAAGTCAACACCTTTGTAGCTTTGCTGTGTCACACCTTAAGTAGCAATCAGCTTTCTCTATTTTTAATTACTCTGGAAGATCACATCCAGCAGCACGGAATAGAAAGAAAAGGTGGCAAAACCAGACTATCATGTGTTGGGGACACAGCTGTAGGTGTTCTGTACAACAGGTTACCAGCTAGAAACCAGTAGGGTTAAGCACTAGACGGATGCTGCTGCAGCACAGCATGCAACAGCCACTTCAGGGGAGGGCAAGTACAGTCAGTATCTGCAGGCGTAAAATGTACAGCACTTTGATGCTAGGTGGAACAGAGTAAAGGTTTTAGAGAGCACGTTTGTCAATCAGTGATATTTTCAGTACTAAGGCAAGAGCAGATGTTAGACTATCCAGAGTTCTGAAGTCACACTAAGTATACAATTCCTACCTCCCCCCACAAAAAAGCTAATAGTCAAACTAGGCCAGTTACTCCAATCTTACAAAAGCTTCCCTTTTGTTCCTAATTTTTTTTGCTCGCTTCATTTTCCCCTCAAACTGCCTTTCTACTGAATTAAGAAATAACAAATAAGGTAAAGCTCGTAAATGCACAGCACATGAGATATTACCTACAGGACACACTGAAGCTAATAAACTACCAGAGTTAACAACAGGTCAACTTTTACCTTTATTTACACCTGCGTTTCAGCCAAATTGTACAGATTCTTAATTTGAGAACTTCCTTTTTACAGATATTAACTAATAAGCTTTCAATGTAGAGGTTTTGAAAACAAAAGAGAAGGAAGTTACCAGACTTTGCCAGTGTCGGTGATCCAGGTGGAGAAAGGTTTATGCTAGGCGACAGGTAAAGATAGTTTCTGTTCACTCCAGCATTGAAATCGAAGGGAGATTTGTAATCCTCATACAGATCCATGCCAGAAAATTCAGAGCATGCAGCTGTCCTCTTCTTCTACCGAAGCATTCATCTTCACCTTCTGGGGTGACCCAGACAGCAGGATTCAGAAACCCTCCGTTTCTTCACATGACACTCACTAAACCTCCTCATAAAATCCAGCTCTCTTACACCTCTTTTAGATTTGATAGAGCCATGTAGCAGGTGATCTCTTAGCCATCTTGTAGCTGCTGCTGTTTACATGGCACAAAGTTAAGTTCCTGTAAATTTATAACTGGGGCTGGACTTAAACAAACCGTTCCTTTAACAAACATTCACAGTGCACCATCCATGGCTTCTGGAAAAGCCTTGGTCCTCTGCAGAACTGCATCAAGAATTTTCAGTCATTTAAATAAAAAAAGGTCAGCTGACTGCAGCTACACCAGGATATCCTTAATCTTCTAGGACACAAAAGGATTACTAGCCGTAATCTATCCTATATACCATCTGTGTAGGACTTTTTCCTCTGATTAATGGAAAATTCTGCGTACATAACTATTTCTGCAGCTGCTTCCAGCAGTGTAATAACCAGTAGCCAGAACCCAGTTTCTGCTGCCCAGGTATCACACTGTAGTGCAAGCTCAGAATAGGAGAAAGCAGTACTCATCTCTGAAGGGTATGCTCCAAACACCACCTGGGCTTTTTAATGAACATGCTAATGAGCATTATGATTTTTGCCCATGAAGCTAAACATATCTGGGTATGAGGGGGGGTCGTTTTGTTGGTTTTGTTTGTTGGGTTTTTTTTGTTTTTGTTTTTTTTTAATTATTGACACATACTGCCTATGTCCTTTGTGCTTCAGCCAGCGTCATTTAGAGCAGCCAGTTATGCCAGGAACCGGTAACACTGGAGTGCATTGTCTTGATGAAAAGTATTTATGTTTTGACACGTATACCATAAAGAAAGATCAACTTACATAAGCCAGCTTACTTCATGCTGGGGGTGTAAGATTTAGTCCTGGGAAAAAGAAGTGCTTCTTACCTAAGAGAAGCACTCAGCACAGTTTTGCAGTGCTTTGCTACTTTATTTTTTTCTTCCAAGGTCAGTTTCTTTCAGAGAAAAAACAAGCTTACTAGCAGTGTAGATCACCTTTACTGCTGAGCAACAATTTCCTCCCAACCCCACACCTTCACCTGGGCTCTTTACCAGAGCCTGCACAGAGAGGAGCATAATCAAATGGCAGTTAATCTTTTCCTCCACCATAAGAGTGGTGTTTTAAGACAGAGCTGATCAGAGATATTACGCCACCCTCCGCCCAAAGCCATGGCAGTGAAGGAGCCTTGCAGCATATCCAAGTAAAGCCTAGGCAATATCTTCCCTGGGGATATGAGATGAAAGTGTACCACTTCTGAAGTTTTAATTTCCCATTTCCACTGCAGTGAGTGGGCGCAGGAACAGACCTTCCAGCTAATTAAAGAGCAGATCCTTTAGACTGCAGACCTACATTGGTTTCTGGTGCAGACCACCTGCAGGCTCATAACAATGAAAGTGATGAGGCCTGGAACACAGGCCTCTGCTATTTTCTGAAACCACTGAAAAGAAGAAGATATAATGCCCCTCTGCATTTTCCGACACGTGGCTGCAGCATCTGCCAGAAAAACTGCAAAGTTCAACTGACAAAGGTCAAAGCTTTGGTCACAGGTTCTAGCTAAAGCATCCAGAGGCAGCAGAGAACTGTAACACGGCCACAGTAATAACACTCTATTAACCAAGCATGCTAATATGAATAGCTACTGATTCTGCTTTGCAGTCTTCCTTCATGTAACTCAGCAGACAGGGACTGCCTTCTGTATAAATGCTCAGGCAGTAGTTGTACTAACTGTATTAGGCAAAATGACAAGTTATCAGATGCAGCACACTGGAGGAGCTGGGTGTTTTCTAGCATCACTCTCCTGGCACAGAAAGAGAGAGCAAAGGTGAGGCTGTTCTGGGTTCAGAGCACTGGAAGAGGCTGCCCAAAGAGGTTTTGGAGTCTCCTCTGGAGATATTCAAAACCCACCTGGCATGCATTCCTGTCCAACCTGCTCTAGGTGAACCTGCTTTGGCAGGGAGGTTGGTCTAGATGATCCCTGAAGGTCCCTTCCACCCCCTACCACTCTGCGATTCTATATCACCTAGGACTTTTTCCCAATCCCAGAGAATCATCCAATATAACACCAGTCCATGCTACCAGGCTATGACAACTGAAAGAGCTATTATAGGAAAAAGAACCCCTTATGAGGATCTATTCATGCCTGCTAACATGCAGGAATATCATTTCCTGGCCAAGGGCATTTACTAGAGTCAACGCCTACATTGTTGTCATTTACATGAAGCTCCCTGCACACAGTTTTACCCCCTACTATCCACTCAAAAAACCCCAAAAAACTGGTACTCTTCCTGCATCTTTAGTGTGCAAAAGTTGGTTTCATGTGTGGATTACGAGTCTAAGACCACTGACCTGGCCTGTCACCGTCACAGACAGAATCGCGTATGGGCCAAACTCTCCAACACATCTTCAGTGTAGTCAGAAAGACAAGCATAGGACATTGCCCACCACTACCACACACCTTTGGCTTACAGGGAAGGCTTACTGAGTTACAAATCTCAGCCCCAACACAAAAGGCTGAATTCTGCTTTTGCCCTGGCTTATATGTAGCCCAAGTACGAGCCCTGAAGTCACCCAAGACAATTCTCTAGATTTTAGAAATATTACTGTCCTAAGATGATTGCCAAGAGAGGGACCGTGCAAGCACTCCTTACTTCAAACTACCGTCTTTACTCAGATTAATCTATCTTATAGTGACCATACCACTGGGTTGCTATAGCATCTCCCAAACAAGCCACCTAAACACATCAGAGTCCTGATCTCTTACCTGCAGGGGTTTATGGGAGTGTCACTCCTCGCTCATTCTCAGCTGCAAATCCTACCTGGTGATGTAGGAAGCTGTCTCGCTGAACAAGCTTCTTCCTCATCACCTAGTGAAGTTTGACGGTCTTCACCCCGAAGTACAAGCCAATGGGGTTGTAAGGAGAAAGGACTGCAGTCCACCCTTCCAAACCTGCTGAAGGACAATTTCTAGGCTACCTGTCATCCCTAATTCATCCACTTCAGGGAAGACAGGTAATCCTCTGCCAGCCATAACAGTCAGTTTATCCGCTGCTTGCCCAGTAGCACCTTAACACACCCAGGGACCCAGGGCAGAACAAGGCAGCACACCTCCTACACTGCCTAAAGGCACTCTGAAGAAGGCAGGCCCTGCTTGCTGTTAGTGTGGTACATTCGGAGGAGGAATTACTTTCTCTCTAAGGGACCTTCCAAATTAAAGTGATAGCCCCAAGGAAACAAAGCAGGATGGGGATGACAGACAGTGGCCACACAGAACCACAAAGAAAGGTTTTGCTCTGTAGTGTGAAGCTTTTTGATGAGTTTAGCAGCTCTCGACAGTCTGAACATAGCTAGGCAATGGCAGGTATCAGGATTTCCCTGCCGTAGAGCCATACCCTGCTAGATGTACCCTGCCTTCCCAGTGAAAGACATACATTTCAGAGCTGGAGCTTACATTTAGACTTCTGTTATGCGTCAGAGTAGTTTCTGTGCATGCTTGAGTATCTTTGTTCTTTGTCCTGCATAGTAAATTCAATTGTTACAGGTGAACCTTGGTTCTTACAGCAGGTATCAGCTGCAAGCCAAGTACCTGAAGAGATCTTGAAGCCTACGGACACATCTGCTCCAGAGACAAGTAGCAGTGGGGTTTTGCTCACTATGCAAAAGATTACAACTGCAGATATTGCTGTTCCAGAACAAGTACTCATTTGCCCTTAAGAACTCAGGATGACTTAAGTATTGACATCTTGGTTATCTATGTCATTTTAGAACCTGGTGTTTGAGAGACTATCGTGAAGGGCAGATCACTTCTGTCAAAGATGCTTTGAACAGACAAGTTCAACTGAATGTCACAAAGTAGCTCAGGAAGGCTCAGCAGTCTCAGCAAAGCATTACCATCACAATTCCTACCATTAATCATGGTGTAATCTCCTCTGTTAAGGTTAGAGTGTGCTTAAAGCTTTTGCAGGTAACTAGCATCAACAGTCAGCACAGACTGTGCATGTCATGAATCATAAGGGAGGTAACTTCCTGCATAGCTAGAAAAGCTGCTTGGTTTGAGCAAACACTGTTAACCAGATATTTGCCTGTCTACTCTTAGACATTCTTTCTTCAGATACCACCTGCTACCCAGGTCTGCAGCTTCCACCTTAACCCAAGGCTCTAGCAGCAATTTAAGGAAGGCGATACAGCATTAAAGCACTTCTACCTCGTTGCTAGCTAAGCAAGGATAACATGTTATGGTAGCCTTGCAGAGAAGCTGCTTTTCCCACATTTAGGTCTAGTAGAACAATAGTTTGTTTATACATTAAAAGTTGTATCCCTCTTTCCACAAAGAAACCAAACCCAGCTCAAATACGACTGAATACCATCTCTGGGCTTCAAAGAAACTAACGTATGTATTCAGTAGTGTTTCATACAAAGAGTTAAATTCAAAATGGAAAGGCTACCACTAATGGCTCAGGATTGGAGGAATGCAGAGGCTACCCTAGGACAAGACCCAAACAATACTTTGAATAAAGCTAACTAAATAAGCAATCCACAAGATCAGTGCCTAAGAGTTCTGTTCCCACTTAGGCACCTTCACCATCTTGGATATCCTGCATTTGTGTCCTGTTTAAGCACAGAGGTGCCAAATTTGTGCACCACAGCCCATGCTTTTGGCAAGCCTGCCATGACTCCAGCACTTAATTCAGCAAGCAAAAGAGGATGGAGGAAGATGAGGTGCAGAGTTTGTTGCCAAAGAGGGGGAAGACACACTTGCTGTTTTGGGGGTCACATGGCAAAAAGATTCAATGTCTTATTTCAAGGTTGATTGCTAAGATTTAATGCCTGCTCAGCCTATACCTGGTATGAATTTGCATCTTCTGTGGTCTGCTAAAAGCCAAGACTGACAGGGGGCCTTTCAGTAACTGTGGCTGGGGTAAAGACTTCCAGCTAGGTCTTCCCCCATCCCCACCTTTCCCAGGTAGATCCCAATCAGGCAGCAACAGTCAGGCTCCTCTCCCCACTCCAACTGAGTTTTATAGGGCATAAGCCATTTTAAGAGCTATAAAGCTACTTAAGCATCTTAAGCCAATCTAGGTTCTGTAGCATCAATTTGATCTTCAAAGTCAGTTTACAGACAAGTAAAGCCTTTCAGCACCTGATCCAAGGCCTTAAAACTGTATTAAGAGAGACACGTGCCATCAAGCAATAGGACAGAAGGCCCAAAGACTAAACAAGCCTTAAATTAGTACAC